GGAGGGGTTCATTCAGAATGGTTGAGGGGTTTAGAATTTTATTTTTGTTTGCAGTATGCAAGTTTTTGTGTGAACATATTTTTTTGGGGTGTCTCTTGTGTAAATTTCTAGGAGGTAAGTGTATACTTCATTTTCAAAGAAACTGCCAAACTGTTTCCCAAAGTAGTTGTACAATTCCTATCAGCAGCATATGAGAGTCTAGTTGCTTCATATCTTCAATGTCTTAGTCTGTTTATCATACTGTAACAAAATACCTTGGACTTGGTGATTTATGTATAATATAAATTTATTTCTCATGGTTCTGGATGCTGGGAAGTTTAAGATCAAGGCACCAGCAGATTCACTGTCTAGTGAGGGCTGCTGTCAGGTTTCAAGCTGGTGCCTGGTTACTGCATCCTTTATGGCAGAAGGCAGAGGGCGAAAGGAATGATCACTGTGTCCTCACATGGCAGAAGAGATGTCAGGGATAGAAAGGATAAACTCTATATGAAGCCTTTTCTACGAGGATATTTATCCTATTCACACAGGCAGAGCCCTCATGACCTAACTGACTCCTAAAGGAATTGATACTATTATATTGACAATCAAATTTCAACATATGAATTTTGGGAGATAAAATTCCACTCCTGGACCCCCTCCAAATTTTTTGTTCATCTCACTTGCAAAATACATTTATTCCATCTCAGTAGCCTCAAAAATCTTAACGCGTTCCAGCATCAACTCAAAAATCTGAAGTCCAGACTGTCTTCTAAGTACCATCTAAATTAGATATGAGTGAGACTCAAGGTCTGATTCACCCTAAGGCAAAATCGCCTCTGACTGTGAACTTGTGAAATTAAACAAGTTGTGTGCTTCCAAAATATAATGTGGAACAGGCATAAAATAGACATTCCTATTCCAAAAGGGAAAAAATAGGAATGAAGAAAGGGAAAATAGGTTCCATGTAACTCCACAATCCAACAAGGCAAACAATATCACATTTTGAGGCTTGAGAAGGGTCTTTGACTCCATGTCCCACCTTTTGGATACCTTGAGGCCCAAGTTGGGGCCTGACTCACAGGTTGGGGTCTGGTGCCTGTGACTGTCCTAGGCTGGTGTTGTACACTGGTGGCTCTAATGGTCTCAGGGGAGCCCTGCCCCTATGGCTCTGCTAAGCATTGTCCTAGTAGAGACTCTTTGAGATGGTCCTGCCCCTGTGGCAGTTCTCTGCCTGGGCCCCAAGGCCCTCCCAGAACATCCTTTGAAATCTACATGAAGGTAGCTATGCCCCCATAGTTTGTGTACTCTGTGCACCTGCAGACTTCACACCCTGTGGATGCTGCTAAGGTTTACCACCAGTGTCTTCTGGAGTGGTGGTCACTGCAGACTGCAAGCCACACATTGAGTGGCTGAGGAACACTGTGCCAGAATGTAGAAGCAGAAACTCAAGGTGGCCCTGGGCAGCAAACCACAAGGTCCTATGGGCCTTTGAGATAGTTCTGCCTTCAAGGCCCTGGTACTCTGGCCCTGTGATAGGATTGGCAGTTTTGAAGATCTTCAAGATGGCTTTGGAATCATTCTCCCATTTTGTAGGTGAATAGCATCTGGCTTCCTTATGTTCATACCTAATCTCCTTAACAAACAGTCCCTTGGTCACACTCTTGGTGTTCTCTTCTGAACATGCCTTTGCTTTTGTTACAAGCTGAGAATTTTTCAATTCTAAGATCTGCTTCCCTTTTGATTCTAAATTCTATTTTTAATTCATTTATCTCAAGAGAAGCTGTGCCACACCCTTGACACATTGCTTAGAGATTCTTTCGTCAAATATCCTAGTTTTTCATTCTTAAATTCTGCCTTCCACAAAGCACTAGGAAGGGGATATAATTCAGCCAAGTTCTTTTCCACTTTATAACGATGGACTTTCCTCTAGTTTCCAATACCTTGTTTCTCATGCCTAACTGAGACCTCATCAGAATTGCTTTTACTGTCCATATTTCTACAACATTCTGTTCTTGACCACTTAGATACTCTCCAAGATTTCAGTTCCCCCACAGCTCTCTTCTAAGCCCTCACAGGAATTGCCCTTCATGCTTAGTTCAAGGCAATCTAAGCTTTTTCTAGCATACATCTCCAAACTCTTCCAGTCTCTAACCATTACCCAGTTCCAAATCCATTTTCAAATTTTTAGGTATATTATTTTAGTAGCATCTGAATTCTCAGTACCATTTTATGTCTTAGACCATTTGAGTTGCTATAACAAAATGTCACAGACTAGGTGATTTACAAATAATAGAAATGTATTTCTGACCATTCTGGAGGTGGAAAAGTCCAAGATCAAGGTACCAGCAAATTCAGTGCCTGGTAAAGACCTACTCTGCTTCATAGATGGTGCTTTTGCTGTGTCTCCACGTAGTAGAAGGAATGGAAGGGCTAAAGGGACTGAAGTGCTATCTTTAATTTTGCTTATAAAGTCCATTAGTAGCATTTTTGAGAATGGAGCCTGAGTGAACAAATCACCTCCTAAAGACCACACCTGCATCTCTGAATATAATTACTATTGTTGATTAAGTTTCAACTATGAATTTTGAAGGAAAATATTCAGATCACAATACTTATCAACACTTGATATTGTCAGTAATTTTAATTTGAGTCAGTTATTGGTATTGTAATTGTATTTAATTGTGGTCTTAGTTTGTGTTTCTTTGATGACTAATGGTACGGTTCATCTTTTTATCCACACATACTTGCTAAATCACTATCAGTGTACATCTATATTCTTTTGAAATGTACCTGCTAAATCTTTTGGCCATTTTTTAATTGAGTTGTTCATCTTCTTATTATTAACTTGCAAAAGTTCTTTATATATTCTGGATAAAAGTCTTTTTCTACCATATGTATTGTGAATATTTTCTCCAGTTTTTTGGTTTGCTTTTCATTTTTTAAACATCTTTTTTTAAAAAAGTGAGCATTTTTATTCTAATAAAATTTAATTTACCAGTTTTTTTCATTCATGTCTTATGCCTTTAGTGTTCTGTTTTAGAGTGAATGAGTTAAGGAAAAGTAGCTGAGAAGAGTCAATGAATGGCCCTACAGGTCTAAGGATGCAGCCTGAAGTAAACCAAGTGTTTTGTTTTAAAGGTTTATGTGAATTTTGCATTTTATTTAATAAAATGACCTTTCTTGATTTAATGTAAGATTAATGCTTTACATATGAGTTTATCTGATGCTTCGGGATAAAGGCCTATATTTAGTTTATGGTATTGTATTGCACAGTTTCAGAACATATGAACTCTAGGTTGCAAATCATAGAACTGAATAGCCACTTGCCTCAGATATCATAGCATTAATATTGATCATGAGTTTCAGTACAAAGAAAAAAGATAAGGCCACAATTAAAAGTAGAAATTGCTGTAAGGTTCCTATATTTCTATATTTATTGTATTTACAATATAAATAGAAACTACACCAACAATTACCCTTTTCAAATATCATCTTTTGCTTGTACTGGAACATATATATATATGTACAAACGAACGTATATATATGTTCCACAGTTCCAGTACACATATATATGCAGAATATTTAATAAGCAGAAAATATATATATAATCTTTTATCTTTAATATCTTCTGACTCTATTAGTTCATTCTCATGCAGCTAATAAAGACATACCCAAGACTGCATAATTTATAAAGGAAAGAGGTTTAATTCGCTCATAGTTCAGCATGGCTAGGGAGGCCTCAGGAAACTTACAATCGTGGCAGAAGGGAAAGCAGGCATGTCCTTAACATGACAGGAGCAAGGAGAAGTGCAGAGTGAAGGAGGAGAAAAGCTCCTTAAAAACAACAGATCTTGTGAGAACTCACTCAATATCACAAGAAGAGTATAGAGGCAACCATCCCAATGATTCAATTACCTCCCACCAGGTTCCTTCCACAACACATGGGAATTAAGGGAACTACAATTTAAGACGAGATTTGGGTGGGGACACAACCAAACCATATCACTGAACATTGAGTATGTTATTAACTTTGTATGTAGATTCAATGATTCAACTATTATATTATTATCTTTCTATGTAGATTCAATGAATCAACTATTTAAATATGTCTAGGCTACTAATAAACCTTCCTGGATGAATAACAGATGAACAACTGAATATAAATGAAAACAGATGGTCTTAAAGAAGAGGATTCAGAATTGTCATCAACCCTTCACAATCACTACGTTTTCTCTAATAAGCTCATATGCCCATAGCATATTTCCAAAGTTTATTGACTTCTTCCAGAATTTCTGTATAAAATAATGACTATGATCTCATAGAGTTCAGGATTGCTTACCAAAGAGCATACCTTCTCAGGATGATGCCCTTTCAAAGGAGCTGGTGCCCCCAGGAACACTGGAAGAGGGAGGCATACAGATGTATTACATTCTTAGCCTAAACCCTGCTTTATGATCTCAGAATCTTCCAAACTTTTACTTTTTCCAAATCTGAAAATCTGTTGTCACTCTATGATCCAGAGACATAAGGCAAGCAGAATTTGGTATCTTGATACCAAACCACTCACATAGTATTTGGTATCAAGATTTTTATGCCTTTAAAAGATATATTTGTGGATTTGACCTATTGAGATACATCAGTATTCCTATGCATATGCACACATATTTGCATAGTAAATATTTTAAACAAAGAAGGGTAGTATAATTCTTACAAAACACAAAACAATGGTTTCTGCTGTTGAGCTATTTGCTTTAGATTTGATGTGTCTATAAATGGCTGTATAAAATATGTTTTAAGAAGTGATAATAGGTTAGATATTATGCAACTGAATGTGGCAACTAGGCCTAAGGTATATTACCAGGTTTTTATCTTCATTGAGCAAATCATAGAAGAAAGTGGAGAATTCATTTCGTATCTTTATCTGTGCATATTCCATATTGATTTAACTACTTAAATAATTTTATGGGTATATAGCTCTTACTTCATCTATATCTTTTTTCTTGACTTCTCTGATGGCTTAGGAGAGAAGGAAGCTGTGTTCAGATGTATATGCAAAGACCTGTCAGAACACACACAAATGAGAGAATGGCGAAGGAGTAATCGGGTAATGAGAAGCATTAATAATTTATTTTGCGTAGAAGTCAGATATACAAGCATTAAAATATATGCCTATTATAACCACTAAAATTATGGTTCATTTTGATGGAAAAAATTCTGCTGAAAATCTAATTTCAGGCAATTGTTCACCAAGCAGGATCATGGTAACTATCTTATCTGTGCTTTCTATGTATTTATTTTTCTGATTAATTGTGCTAGTTATGGTAAGCATTTATTAGTCACTCCGTATAATGTATCACAAAATGTAACATGAGTAAAGGCAAGTTATTAGACCTTAGTACCAAAAAGTATTTGAAAATTCAGAGTGTTTATCTCTTCCTTTATAACATGTGACTTCATCTTATTTATGCTGTTGCATCTGGAGTAGTTCAGTATGTTTGCAATAAAGTTACTTAAGTTTGTACATTATGTAGGAATATATTATCATTGTATAAACTCTTAAAGCACAAGTTTCTTTAAAAATTATCATTATATTAAAAAGCATTAGTTTTAAAATAATGTATATTTGGAAGTGCCCTCAATTCGGAACAAATGTGTTGTATTAAAATAAGCTGCTGGCTTTTTTTTTTAAGAGTAAAATTTCCTTTATTTTTCCCACTCTAAAATGTAACAAGTAGTTTTCTAAAGATGACCTCTCTTAATAGATGTTTTCTTCTAGGCCTTTTTTTTTTCGGATGCATGTATACATAGCTGTGATTCTGCACACAGTTTCTATTTTGCATTTCAGACTTGGAATTAAACATATTTTTCCTTTAATACTATAAAAATTGCATGCATATAACTTAAAAATATAACTGTGCCATAATTACTTCAGTTAATACTGTAATATTGCACACTTCAGTTTGGTGTTAAAAAATACTTCAGCAAATCTCTTACTACATGAAGCTGTTTCCCAAATTTCAGATTATTTTATCTTGCTAGAGTATCAGTCAGCTTCACTGCTTTAGTGGCTGGAGATAAGAGATTTATTGCAAGGAACTGGCTTACATGATTATTGAGGCTAGCTAGGCAAGTGTGAAATCCACAGGGAGGATGTCAGGAAGGGCAGTCTGGAACTCTCTTGCATAGGCTGAAACTACTGCCTAAGGCCAGATGAGGTGGCTCATGCCTTTAATCCCAGCATTTTGTGGGGCAGTGAAGGGAGGATTGCTTGAAACCAGGTGTTCCAAGCCAGTTTGGTCAACAAAACCAGACTGTGTTTGTACAGAAAAAATGAGGGAAGGAAAGAAGGAAGGAAGGAAGGAAGGAAGGAAGGAAGGAAGGAAGGAGGGAAGAGAGGGAAGGAGGGAGTGAGGGAGGTAGGGAGGAGCGAACTGATATCTATAGGCAGAAGTGCTTCTTCAGAGAAGCCTAACTGCATTTAAGCCATTTTAACTGATTGAATAACACTCACTGAGTCTTATTTAACTGATTGAATACTGCTTATGGTAATCAATAATTTCCCTCACTAGAGTCAACTGATTATAGACATTAATCACATCTAAAAAATAATATCTTCATAGCATCACCTACCTACATGTTTGTGAATAAGTGGGAACTATAGTCTAGCCAGGTTGACACATTGAAGGACAATCACAGTTAAATTCTCAGAAATAGAATAGCTGAATCAAAGGGAGTGAATTTTTAATTTTTTTCAGTGTTTATAAAATTGTAGACCATTTTTAGAGCAGTTTAAGCTTCACAGCAAGACTGAGAGGAAGGTACAGAGATACCCCATATACTTCCTGTCCCCACACATGATAGTTCCCTCATTACCAAAGTCCTTCACCAAAATGGTACATTTGTTACAACTGATGAAACTACATTGATACATCATTGTCACTCAGAGTCTATGTTTTACATAAGGGTGTTTATGTTTTGTTTTTTGGTATTGAACATTCTATGAGTTTGGACAAATGTGGATATAAATGACATGTATCCATCATTATAGTATCATACAGAGTATTTTCACCGTCCCAGAAATCCTCTGTGTTCTGCCTATTAATCCCTCCTTCCCCCCATGCCTCTTGGCAACAACTATTTTTTTATTGTCTCCATAATTTTGCCTTTACCAAAATGTTATATAGTTTGAATCATATGGTATATAGCCTTTTCAGTTTGGCTTTTTTTTTTTTTTAACTTGGTAATAGGCATCTGAATTTCTTCTCTATCTTTTAATGGCTCGAGAATTTCTTTCATTCTAACACCAAATAATATTCCATCATCTGGAGGTACGGCAGTTTATTTTTCCATCATCTGCTGAAGGACATCTTAATTGCTTCCAAGTTTTGGCAATTATGAATAAACCAGTTATAAACATCCATGCATAGGTTCTTGTGTGGATATAAGTTTTTACCTTTTCTTGTCTAAATACCAAGGAGCATGATTGCAGATTATACGGTAACCACATGTTTAGTTTGTAAGACACTATCAAGCTGTCTTTGAAAGCATCTGTCCCATTTTGCATTCCCAGCAGCAATGAATGAGAGTTCCTATTACTTTATAAACTTTTCAGCATTTGGTGTTATCAGTGTTGTGAATTTGGCTATTCTAATAGGTGTGTATCTCTTTGTTTTCATTTGCTTTTTCCTGATGACTTATACTGTAAGGCATCTTTTCTTATGCTTGTTTGCCATCTGTATGTCTTATTTAGTAGGATGTCCATTAAGATCTTCGGCTCATTTTTAATGTTTTTTTTTTCATATTTTTGAATGTTAAGAGTTCTTTGTATATTTTGGGTAACAGCCTTTTATTAGATATGTCGTCTGCGAATGTTTTTTTCCAGTCTGTGACTTATCTTTCATTTTCTTGGCAGTGTCTTTAATAGAGCAAAAATTTTTAATTTTAATCAAGTCCAGCTTATCAGTTCTTTCTTTCATAAATTGTGCCTTTGCGGTTGTAGACAAAAAGTCATCACCAAATCCAAGATCAACTAGATTTTCTCCTATGTTATCTTCTAGGAGTTTTATGATTTTGAGTTTTACATTTAGGTCTGTTATCCATTTTGGGTTATTTTTTGGGAAGAGAGAAAGGTTTGTGTCTGGGTTCACTTTTTGCACTTGCATGTCAATTGGTCCAGAGCCATTTGTTAAAAAGAGTGATACGTATTTTAAAATTCTTTTTCTAAAAGGTAATCATAATTTTCTCTACTTTCTCATTCTGTTCCTGCCTTCCCTTCGAGTAAATACCAGACTGCCCACCTTGCTACACTATGAATCAATGGAATCAATAACAGTTGAGAGTGCCCCTAGCATTTAAAAAGTACTAGTGTCTCAAGATAGGCACAAAATGTTTTGGCAGTAAGTGTTTAAGGACCTTTCTTTTCTGGGACAGTTTGCCTTCTCCATGTCAACATCTAGTTTCCTGAGCATTGTATAGCTATATCAGCCTCACTAAGTAACTGCTCAAATCTATGTATAGGTGGAAATATAAATTACTATTTATTGCTTTTTATTTATAGGCAATTTAGGTGTTTTAAGGGAGATATAAGTATTAACATTATCAAAAAGTTTAAAGTTACAATAGTAATCTTAAAATAAATATTTGATGTTATATTTATGTTAAGGTTCATTTTTTATGTATTTCTTTGGGAAGCAAAGCTAACGTGTCTCAGAAATCTTCAGTAATATAAATAAAAGGCATGATTTACCTTTCAGAAGCTTTTTTTTTTCCAGTAGACGTGCGTAAAGGTTTATATTATTTTTGTTTTTATTTATTTGAGACAAGGTCATGTTCTGTCACCCAGGCTGGAGTGCAGTAGTGTGATAATGGCTTACTGCAGCCTCAACCTCCTGGGCTCAAGGGATCCTCCCTCCTTAGCCTCCTGAATAGCTGAGACTACAGGCATTTCCCACCACCACGCTTGCATAAACTTATTAATATTATTTGATTTTTAGAAATTTTATCATTAGACAGAGGTTAATGGAGTTATTGATTAAATCGACTTGGAGATGATGTATTTTGAGTTGAATTTTTAGTTCTACTGTGCACTATTTTGGCAAATCTGGACAAATAACTTAATCTCCTCAAGCCTCAGTTTTCTCACTCATAAAATGGAGATACTACCATCTCCTTTGTATGGTTGTATGAGGATTCAATGAGCCGATGCATGTGAAACATGGTATACATGCTGGCACATGAGTCTGTGTGTGTCTGGTGGGGGAGTGTGGATGTGCACATGTACTCTGTACTGTATATTTCCTGCCTTTTTTCTACCTCTCATCCCCATCCTATCACTACCCCAAACATTCAGCCAATTTAGGGACAGGACAGAAAGTGGAAATGGCTTGCAAGTCATTCTTTCTTTTATTTTTCCAAAGCCTTAAACTGTCAGAGAATGTAGAAGGTTTGAAGGAAGCACAAAAGGATGGGGTATAATTAGAAGACAGAGATAGAATGCCTTGAGGAAACATAAAGCGCAAATGTTCCCCTACACTTGTACAAGACCATTCCCAAGGCTGAGGGAAAGGAGGAGGTGGGCTTGTGGATCCTGAGAGCAGAGGTGATCACTATGCTTCTTACTGGCAGTGCCTGAGAAGCTGGCAAGACTCCCAAGAGGAGGGGAACTGAGGTGCCTCGGGCAGGGGAGCCCTGGCAGTCTCACTGTAGATTCCTTAGGCAAAGGAGTATAACAGCAACAAAGATTGCCAAAGCTGCTAAGGTCGAGAGATAACTGGAGTAATTGCCAGGATGGTTGCAGAAGCCCCTGATGTCATTTCATAGGACCCAGAACCAGAACACAACTCTGGGCTGGGCAGGTGCAGTGTGACAGGTCCCCCACCAGGTTACTTAAGTGTGTATGTTCACTGCTTGAATCTTGAAGGCTGGGCAGTGAGCCAAAGCCACGGTACCCAGCCAAGGAGCAGGTGTCCCTAAGAACTCAATCGACCTAGAAAGTATTCGAGAACCTACCAAGAAAAACAGCCTCATCGCTCAAACACAGTAGCCAAAGAGCCAGAAAACTAACTTGGCCGGGCGCGATGGCTCACGCCTATAATCCCAGCACTTTGGGAGGCCGAGGCGGGTGGATCACGAGGTCAAGAGCTCGAGACCGTCCTGGTCAACATGGTGAAACCCCGTCTCTACCAATAATACAAAAATTAGCTGGGCATGGTGGTGCATGCCTGTAGTCCCAGCTACTCGGGAGGCTGAGGCAGGAGAATTGCTTGAACCCAGGAGGCGGAGGTTGCGGTGAGCCGAGATCGCGCTATTCCACTCCAGCCTGGGTAACAAGAGCGAAACTCC